TTTTATAAAAGTATACCTTTATCTGTTGCTTGGATTCTCTAGTACCCCATGTAACGTTATGTACATTGAAGATGGAGTAAATAATAAGTAACATGTACATTGATGGTACTGTAATATAATAAATGATCCCAAAATTTAGACATGATATTTCATGTGGATGCATAAAACCTGTTAGTATAAATTGAGCGATTACAATAAAAAACAGAAGTGTGTTGGGTGCAAGACTTCCTTCTTCTGCTACTTCTAATAGTATTCCAACTAATACAACTATCATTACCAATCCATATAGAACAGTAATAAACTCAGCTACGATAAGCTGCAAAACATGATTATGTAGTTAAATTTTGTCAGAAATGATTAACTTATCATTTTTTTTAAACAGATTGAATCTAACTTACACATTAAGATAATAATTTAAGCAATTACCTGTATACGATTTTCACTGAAGAAACAAACTATTAGAAACACAATTATTGGAATTAGGTTGAACCAAAAACTTGTCCAGTTATCTATTTGAAAAGAGGTGACAAATGCACCAGCCATCATTAAATAAATAAAAGATGGTCCAATAATAGTACTACCTACAAAGTAGTACTTAGTATTTAAATATAAGAATGAAATATATTTATTCTTAAATATGTTCTCTTTACATATTATTTCTTATTATTTTTAGTATGCTACCTGTTAATATCCATTGATATGCAATGTAGTGCCACGAGATGTCATTATTTAATTTTCTGGTTTCTTTTGATGTATTTAACAAGTCAAATATGTTAGCCATAGTGGATGGAATCCATCGTCGACGCTGAATATAAAAGTCTTTAAATGTTTCTGGAGCATGTGTATAAGCATCACCAGCTGCACAATATTCTACCTAAGGGAATATGATAAAGAAAGGTACAAAATTAAAAGGTTTATACAAATTAATTACAAAAAGATTTTCAAAATAAAATATAGATTTTACTTTGCAGCCAGCTTGTAAAAGAAGTGTACAAAGCCATCGATCTTCTCCTTGATCATACTGAATATAATGCTTGGGTTCAGTTGATCTAGTTGCATATTTTGCTATGACATTATGTTGCATTAAAGCTTTTGCTCTGAAAAGAGAAAAACATCCAGGACTACAGAGAACCGAGCCTATAGTATGTTCTGTTGATTTCTGGAGCCAATGTCCTATAGCATATTCAAATTTTTGAAACCAAATCATTGGACCTGTGCAAAGACATTTTATTTTCTAGAAATTTAATAAATATAACATTGTACTTTGTTGTGTATTATAGTTTGTGGGATAGTATAAAAATACCTTCTCCCACTGGATGTATTCGTCCGCAGGCTGCACCTAATTTCTTATCTTTTTTCATTAAGTCAATTAATGCTTTAACAGCTACTGGTCGAAAATCAACATCACCATCTAATGTTAGAATGTAAGTATTTTCTGTAATTAATTCTTTACGATCAACATTGATTGATGGGTCCATCAAACGATAGCCAAGAAGATAATACATGTACATGACCTATGGTATACCAACATTAAATATTAGTTACATTTCATTGAGTAAAGACTGATTCCTTTGATTAATGCTAATGAAATTAAAATTACCTGGCTCCATCTTTTTCTGTGTCGTATTTTATTCTTATCTTTAAGATGCACCGTTAAATATGTTTTACCAGGTAGAGTCCAGATAAGTTGACCACCATAGGGTGTTGGATGCTTGGTTGGAAATAATGAACACATACCAAGATTCTTGACAGCTTCTTCCATAGTTTCCAGAAATGTTACCACATATTGGTTTATTTGTGTTTCATGTTCAAGATGATTACATGACCCAATACAACCATATATACAGCAAAATGCGTCGTCAAAAAATATGTGAGCTGAAGTAATGATTAAATTAGTTTCATTTAAATAATATGTATCATTAATTTTACAGAATATTAATTAGGGCTTTTACTTACTGTCCAGTTCAAAATAATCTTTAATAAAAATCTTATAATATTTTTGAGTAACTCTCATAGCACATTGATCCTTATCTAGTCGTAATATACTTCCAATCAGTTCCATCATTTCTTCTTTAGTTTCATGCCACATAGTAGCACATACATAAAGTTGAGTAGCACAAGCATTCTTTTTATTACTGACATTTTCTTCTAAAAATCCTGAATCAGACCTACTTGATCTTTCCATTTCTTGTATACTGGCAGCCTGAAATATGTTCAAAAAGTTTCAAAAGTTTATAAAAGCTTCAATTTATCAAAGAAGAGTGAAACAAGTACCTTGAACTGTGTAGTCAAATGAAAATGCTCTTCTTCTTCAATCATATTGTAAGTTTGATACTTTCTTTTATTTAATCCTATGAACTGATCAATCATTAGAGAATCATATGTTGAATTATAGAAAATTTTCTCCACTGGAGCAATTTTTTCTTTCTGATCAAACCATAATTGTAGTGAGATCCAAATTTGAGATAACCACCATACTATCCAGCACCATATGCGCCAGTTTAGGAAAAAATCTTTCATATTGCTGTATACAGGTTCTTTGAAAAATAGATAATCTGATAGTAAATCACGAAACGCACACGAATCCTTATCTTTTCCAATAGAAAACATTATTATTAGAAATATCGTCCCTGGTGTAACTAAACTTATTGGAAAAGCAACACTAAATTTGTGCATCTGTGTTTTATATGCAAATATAGCTGCAATAATATATTGAAAGTACTTAAATATTGCAAAGGATTTTTACATTGTACAATTATTATAAAATCTTGTACTCACCTGTTCTATATATGAGAAAACCACAGAAAACTTGAATTAAAAAAATATTTAAAGGTGTTGATGTGTTTACAGTAGGGGTATAAATATCTTCTTGTTGAAAATTGTTGTCTTCAAAATGAAATTTTACTCCTTGTGCTTTTGTAGGGACAGAACAATTTAATAATGGAACTAATTCCACATTGTATTGATTCATTCCTTGAAATTCAAAAAATTCACTAAATTGAATTCCTTTAAACATTGAAATTATAGATGCACTTAAAATGAATATCAAACACCTCCAAAATGCTATGTATCCTTGCAATAAATGTCTACTATTTTCTAAATCTGTTCTTACTGCTGCTAGAAACCTTATAAACCCTGTTGATAAGAGATAAATGATTATAAAAATTCTGATATGCATACAAAAAATAGATTATATAAAGAAAAGTATGGAAATTCAAAAATCTTACCACAGTAACTATGGTCAGAAACATAATTGATCCACCAACGACAAGAAGATAATAAAAGTGATATAGGAAATATCCACATTAGTGCGTCATTTGTATTATAATGTAAAAAGGAATGTAGAATCAGTCCAGAACCCTGGGCAATTAATGCCAACACATCACATAATAAAATTAATACGAACATTTTAGATGTTTCCACATACTTCTGATTTTGAGAAATTAAATCTGTAATAAAAAACAAATTTTTAAATTTAAATTTAATAAACTCTTATCTATCTATTAGAATATTTAAAAAAATTGACTTACTTATTAGAACAGGTATGAAAGACATACAACTACATATTGCTGCACCTTCTATAGAGTTGATCTTTGGAAGACTGTAGAAAAGCAAAAGTGCTAAACCAATTGGATGAAAAGTTTCCAAAACAAGGAGAATTGCTAGATTTAGTTTCTTAGGCATCTTTTCATTCTTTTTAAAAATATAATACCATATAGACTGTAAAATGTTGAAACATTCTGGCACAAGGAACATAAAGATGATGTACCATGACCAGATTATTCTACCCTTTTTGGAAATTTTTGCACCTAAATCTTCTTTGATCTCTGCTGTATTAATAATCATTACACAGTGTTTTTTAAAGTGTGAATCATTTGACAGTATATAACTACTTTTAAATATTACTATATGAATAACATTTACAAAATACCTGAGTAGGCATTACACAATTGTGTACATTGTTCTTCATCAAGCTGTGAAACTGCAAAGAGGACTGCACATTTGGCAATTAAACTACAGCATAGAATAATGCAGAAAATAATACCATACATAAGAAATTTAATAATGCGCATAACGATAACTAGCCATTTATGCTTCTGCATTGATGCACTTTCTTTTTTTATTGAATATTGTTTAAATATATCCCATGGTAAGACATTTTGTTGGACTCTAGAATCAAGCAATATAATTATAAATAAGTTTATTTTTTGTTACTGTAAATGACAGTTTGAATAGTAACATTTAAAAAATTTTAATACAAATAAAATGTGATTTTTTAATATAAATTTGTGAATAATTACTGATTAATTAAATTTTCTTACGATTGTTCAGATATTGTATGTCCATTTTTGGATTCCGAAAGATCGTCCTCGTAATTTTCCAAATCGGCAAATAGCGATGGATTTAAATTGTTAGTTTCTTCCAAATTTTTCATCGTGAACATTCAATTCTCCGACGGTGTTTGACTGTATATGCGGTGAATCATTTACTGCCGAAATTTTCATCAATTTATCGAAAACACGATAAACTGATAAGATTCCAAATTTGTCAAAAGTAGTTCATTGTTATCTGTGACCATATGAAAATGGGGAAATAGGGTATTATTAGGAGATAAAAAGTTCTTTATCAACATATCTCAAAACGCATTTTATTGTTTTTAAACTTATCAGAAAAGTGAAGCAAGAAGCACACTTTCAACTATTATAAATATGTAGTATTTTCAAAAATATGTTTGTAACAGACATTATTATTTCATTTGAAGTTACTTAATAAAATCCTGTTATGTCAATGACGTAGACAAAGTTATTATTTTAAATAAAAAAACATAGTTAACGAAAATAATAAATACGAAACAATATCTTTTAAATAAAAGTTTATACTAAAATAAAATTGTTATTTTATTGTACAAGAAGACAGAATATTTATACAAAACTAGGAAGAAAATAACTCACGGAACGCGAGCATAAGATTTGGACCGAAAAGATATTTCAAGTTTGCCGCTATTCGCGGTCGAAGTCGAATTCTGAATCGCTGTATTCGATAACAAATAATCGATAATGAATGATCTCGTGTGTAGCACCTTTCACGAGATAGGTTCCTATCTGTGAATTACGCTTTGTAGTTGATTTATCAATAATCGCGGATAACGTGAAATGCCGGATTAACTTGTTCGGCATCATTTAAGTAAGTTTGTAAAGGAATATAGGAGGCGTGAAACAAATGTGGAGCATCCCGAAAGCAGGCTCCGAGTTAGGACTGGGTTAGGTTGATGGCTGTTGAGGCCGGAGCCTTTCTTGTTCAAATGAAAGTATTAATACCCTAGGTTGAAACGGGTTTAACTGCGGTATACTTTTATCCGAGTACTTTTAGAGTACTCTGCCCCTGAGAGAGTTCATATTCTTCAGGGGTAGATCCTCTTTGGTAATTCGTTTTTCTCAAAAAATGGCATCGCAAAGTCAGAATGCTACGACTGTGAGTCCAAGTGTTTCACCGGCGAATGGATCATCCGGACCGACGACGACCTCCTCGGTCTGCACTACAAAGATGCAGTCGTTCACCTCTGCACCATCCTCACAACCTTATGAGCAAAATTCGTCACCATCATTATCGCCGTCACCGTCACCGTCACTGTCACCGTCACCGACACCGTCACTGTTACCGATGCAGGAGCAACAGCATCAACAAACTCTGCAATCCAACAATGTAGAGGCACTTGATAAAAATTCTTCGAATACGTTGAAAGTATGTGCTCCCTTGTTACTTAGAACACTTTTAATTTGGATAACATATTTATTATTTAAAATGTATTTCAATGTCTAATTTGATCTGCTATATTTGACATATAGTATATCTCATAACATGTGCAGAACGAATTTATTTTACGTTATTGTCACATGGTTTTAACATATCAAAAGAGTAAAAAAGTGTCATACAAATATATGTTCTATTTGACTTTGTTTTCAAGTTATAAAGAATTTGATTTTTAAAATCTCTATCTGCTTTGTATTTAAACACATGTTTGTAAATGTTTTACCATTGTTTAATCCTTCACAAAGTATCATCACAAGATTGTGTGTAAGATATTGAGTTTGTTTATAAATAGTTAGGTGGAATTAATTTAACCATCTTTTTTTTAATAAATGAA